ACAGAAAATGGACATTAAAACAAAAACAAAATGACTGTGAATGAATTGGAAGGCTGCCACAATTTTATCAACATATCCTAGTGTTATTAACTTCATTTACTTGAGTTTTTTCATCATCTTACATAACTCTATTGTTTAACTGCAACATAAGAGACCCAGGCTTAAGCATATGATATTTTCCATCACTATAGCAAGTTGAATTTGCAAGGCAACCTATAATATTATGGAATGTTAGAGGTTTTGGAAAGACCTTGGAGATCATCTAATCCAATGCCCTTATTTTACAGATGGGGAAACAGTCATGGAAAGGTTAAGCAACTTGCCCAAGGTCACACAGCAAGTTAATACTCATATTGAATCTAGGCCTCCTTCTTCCTAGGCTAGTATTTCTTCCACCTCATCTGATTCATTCTCTGTAATTGCTGTTGATTTTCTCATAAATACTAAATCAGGCGAACATGGTACCTGCCTTACTGCTGGTATTACGGGATAGTATTCACCTGATGGCAGCTTCCAAAGGAGACTCTGATGGCACTAACCAGCTTCTATAAGTTTATCTTGCAAGTTCAGCTGTAAATTAAGTGGCAGTAAATGCTACAAGTTGTAAAGTATACTTGTGCACAGAGGTGTGCACATGGAAGTGATATGTCAGTTCCCGCATTTGCAGATTCAGTTAGACATTGTTTAATATTAAACAGACATTCCCAATGCATGAGAAGTCAGGTTATATTCATTTGGTCACTAAAGGAGTATGGATCAGAAAAGGAGTGAAAAAAATAAAAGCTAACCAACAGAAAACAAATCTTCTATGAAAAATTCTTTCATAGGAAAAATATTTCCATTGTTTCCAAGGTCCCATTTATTTCCTTCCCAGTCCACATGCAAATATATGTTCAGAATTGTGTGTTAAGTTCACTCAAAATCCCAGGCCCATTAGACGTTAATTTTACAAATGCTGAATTTCAGTCCTCTTGCTCAGAGCTCAGAGACTGGGAGATGCTTGCATCACTGGCCATGCCTTTGTATAACTGAATATTAACTGCAAGTAGCTCAGAAAAGGACCATGAAATTCAACCGGGATGGCAGGGTTAAGACTCCAATAAGTATTTGTACATTGAGAATGGCCAATGCAAAGCCTGTGAGTTCTCTAGGTATCAGGTCTGCTTTTGGTGAAACTAAGTAACATATCTGAGGCGACTACCTCATTATTAAAGTCCTCACCTAAAGTTTCTTTGGTGAGTTAGAAGGAAATTCCACTCTTTTGGTTAGATGGTCTCCCTTGCTCTTTAAAAATCACAACTACTGCATACAACCTATAATTGGGCAGAACCAAAGCACATGGAGACCATCTTAAGCCCAAACTAACAGGACTGTAAATGAATGCCAACAGGCAGAAACAGTCCTAGATATCTCTCTTAAGGATTTCAGAGTCAGCTTTTAATTGCAAGTCAAATTCTATTGAAATCAGTGGGACTTGCCTATTGGTCATTAAAAGAAGAATCCTACCTGAATGATATAAAGTAATATCCTGTTGGACAAGGAAATTGTGGGAGCAGGAGATTTTTATCCTTCTATTCCTTCAAAATTCAACCTGAAAATCTGCTAAAATGATCCAGAAAGGTGACACCTGCAACAGATGTTATCAAGGGGGCTAGTCAAATAGTCACCCCTCCAATCTAAAGTAACCACAAAACAGACACCTGAATGCCATACCAAAGCAGAGGGCAGCCTGTTTTAAAGCACAAGAGTATGTTTGGAGTTCTAATAGTGACATCTCCCTAGCTTTAACTTACAGATAATAGTCTCCTAAGAAAGCACGTGCCATACCCGAGCGTGTGCCAACCTCAGCACCCAGGCAAGTATAAAGCCTATGGAATAATTGTAACTAGCAAATATCTGTGCCCTGCATGCTCTGGGCTCTGGCCAGAAGGCATCTGCTTCTGGCTTCTTTTCTATGTTTCTATAGTTCCCTTTCTGATGTTTATTTATTATAAAGCAATATTATAACAACATCAAAAAAAATTTTTAAAGAAAAAAATTTTCACATAATCCCACCACCCTACACAACTGATTTCAATTATCTGTGTTCCCAGTCTTTGTCCATATACACACTTATTTTTACATAGCTGTAATCCCTGTTTATGTTATTTAAAATTGATTTTATAGAATCTCTCTGAGAACTGGCAGCCTCATTAGAATTAAACAACCCATTGAGCAAAGGAATATAATTATTTACACGATCTTTGAGCTGAGAAATATCCTTTATAGACAAACATCTGAAACTATCAAAACAGTTATACAGACAACAGGAAGCAATTTCATATTTCTTTTTCTTTTAGCAATGGAATGTGCTTCACAGGGGAGGGATAGATGTAAGAATCAGGTGGTTAAACTCAAACATTGGGGTGCAGTTCACAAGCCTGAAAGAAATCTGAATAACACAATTAAAGAATAAATACTTGAGTTAAATCTTCTTACATGACTTGGCCATCCAGTAGCCAAAATGGAACATGGACGCACAAATATTTACAATGACACATAGACAAGATCAGCAAGAACGAAGTCATTACCCAACATGGTGACTGATTTGAGGAGATTGTGTCATCCAAAAATCTTCACAGGATTATGACAACGCACCGGATCCTTGCTACAACATTAGTGTTCTTTTCTTTTTTAAATAAATAATCTCTACTGTGCTTCTCACCCTTCCCTGACTTTCCCACTGCCCTATTCCTATCTCAGGACATTTTGGAATCAACATTCGATGATGTGCCCTCCTTATCTCAGGGCACACTAGCAACATTAAAGATCTGGATAGACTCACCTGTGTCAAGATGAGCTAAAAAAAAAAATCCAGGGAAAGGGAATAAACTATTAACCATCTGGAGTCCAAGTTGTTCAAGTGTACCAAATGTGAATCCTTCAGCATCATTTTGGCACGAGAAACAGTTTCTCTCTAATACTTATTAGAAATATACATAACTCTCCAACACAGGGAAGGGGCTTTAGAAGCTGTTCTCATTTGAAAATTTACATAGATACAAATTTGTAAGAGTAATGCCTACTGGGATATATTATCATCAAATCTTGGTACAGATTGGTGATAAAGAAGTACCTGGCTCCTCATTGCTAATATGCTGAACTGAAAGCATAAAAGAGAAGCCACTTCTCTGCCTACAGTGATCTGAAGGATCACTGCTCCAGGGTCTCCAAAATAACAACAACAAAAAAAATAGGCCTTTATGACACAAGGGATGCTAATTGATGAGTAGGGCTTCCCAATCAGGTTTTGGGCTCTCTTGACTGGCAGGGTATAGTTACCAGTGTACTGAATTTTATTGGCATCCCAGGTATTGAATTCCCTGGCACTATGAGTAAGAATCAAAAAAAAAAACCTTAATGTTAAAAGAAATTAAAATTAAGGCCTCTCTCTCTCATTGGAGTGGTGTGGCATTAAAAATTTCAGGCCCAGACACTTTTTTGCAAAGTTTAACATAGTATGCTTCAAATTAATATTACCATTTGATTTTCCTTTCACATTTGTTGTTTTATCCCACTGTGAGTATTTTCACGGGGGTCAAGCCCCTTCCAAATTTTATAGTCAAAGAAAACAGTAGGAAAATAGACAATCCACCAGTGGCGTCATCTCCTAAACATAAACATGTGCACTATATGGTTAGCCGAAACTCTAAAGAAAGTGCTTTCATTTTAAGGAATGGATGGATGGTTAGATGGATGGATGTACCTTGGCAGAGAAGGAAAGAGTCCCATGTCATTGATCTCTTTTCCCTTCTTGCTGAATGTAGATAGGTTCTATTCAGATTCTTTACATACTACACATCAAGAAGCCTTCTATAGCACAAATTGTTAGCTTTTCAAAGGCTTAGAGAAACAACTTTCCAGAATTTGCAAAATTGACAATACACTCAAAAGAGAAGCATATCCTTTTCTACACAGACACCCTCCAGATAGTTTTCTACTCTCAGAAGATTCAGGAAGTTCCAACTGTTGAATTTTTAATAAATAGATATATGGCAAAATAATAGTCAAATTTTGGTATTTTCCCCAAGCCACAAAAGGAATTCAGTTGGACTGACATTTCTTGGGATATGATTGCAAGCCAAAATTATTTTCACTGGAGACTTTCAAGATCTTTACACTCTTTTGATATTCAAGAGCCCAAGGAGCTAAGTATGAACACATCATATCCTGAAACAGAAATTGGTGATACATAGGGAAAATGGGACCAAGTATTTAGAGCCAAATGTTGATTGGGATGTAGCTTTCACTGACCTCCCATTTCTTACAGAGTTGAATGTTTATTATATCTCTGTTCTCTAAATCTTTTAAAAATGTTATAAATTGTCAAAACAAATAATTTTATCATAAGGAAATGTCAGTTAATGGATCTGTTTCCTCCTGATGTTCGTATTTTACAGTGTATATGTTCCAAGAGCACAAGAGAGGATTAAATTAAGTATTCTTATCTTTGTTTAATGTCCAACAAGGATTTCAGTATTATTCATGTTTCTTATTCTCCCTTTTGGCTCTTGGAGAAAAGTTTCTTCTTTGTTTAAATATGGTTTCTCTTATCAGGATTTCCTAGGTCCAGGACCTGGACTCACCATGTAGGATTGCCACAGTTTCAGTGTGTCTGCCCTCTTTCAGGTATCATGAAGATTAACAAACTAGTTTCCATAAACGACAAATCAACTACCTCTAAAGCATCACGGTGAAAATGTAGCAGGATTTCACCATTTGAGCTTTATTTAGATACACAGTTTTTAAAAGCCCTTCCTGAACACACATACTCCTCTCTGCTTTTGGAAAATGTCCTAAAAGAAACCTTTTCCAATACAAATGCAGAAAAATAGGTACACAAACCAAGCCACCACTATAGAAGAAGAATAAAAGATTGTAACTCTATTAGGGCATGGACTTCCACATGTTCACACAGTACTTGCTCTGTTTTTTTTGTTTGTTTGTTTGTTTGTTTTTTTGCTTTGCTTTTTTGCTTTCTTTTTTAAAAAAAAACATTTTGACATCTTTTTTTCTGGACATCTAATGACAATGCAAGTGAAAAACATCACATTGGGTAAGGAGTTTTGAAAGAGGCTCGAATGCAAGAGGGACTACTCTCTAACTTAAAAACAAACACAACACTATGAAGAGGGAGTGTGCATCTTTGAGAAACTTTTTTTCTTCAAAGTGAATGCACAAAATGAGGGGATTCACTACTGGCTCTTTCGCTTCACGGTGGGAAGTGACCACTTTATGGCCACTTCAACATTGCTGCCCTGTTCGGGCTGCTTTTCAGGCTTACAAATAAATTACATAATCTGAGGGTGTAGGAAAAAGGCTTATAAGAAGTTTCTATTCATTTGAAAGTTAAAGAACCCCCACCCCTTTTGACTGTCTTTTCTTTCATCTTTCTTGCAGCACAGTTTTATTTCAGTCTTACTCATGAGGGAGATGGTGAGGGGTAAGGCTTGCAGTCCTAGCGGCTGCTGTTCTTAATCGCTTCCTTCGCAGCGATAATCAGAGGAGTCAGGCTGGAGAGAGGCTTGGCTAATTTTAAAAATGGATGCTGCAAGAGGAAGGGAAAAATAAAGAGAAATTACTGGAATTCTTTTCTCCAAGTATATTAGTGTACATTTTCAAGCAGCCCTTTTTTATTAAAATATATTTTGAACACACAC